TGCCTTCTCCTGCCCTGCCAGGAAAAACCTGAGCCTCCAGCCTGTGCCGCAATTCCTGCTCCCCAAAACGGCGGATCTCTTCCGGCATGCGAGTGAGTGCTTAACTGTAATGTTTTCTGCTGGGTTTTTGATTCCACACTGAAACTTTTATGCTGTTTTACGCTCGTTCCTCCTTTCCCTAACTTGTTGGGCAGGGATTAAGACTTCGTGTTGACCTTTGGAAGAGAAAGAGGTTTAATGGGAAGGCTGGGAATATGTCTGTTTGGTTTTGAGAAGGGAATTTTCATCTGAGAAAGTAATTTTTCTGTGAGAGTGGTGAACTTGAGGCCCCAGATCGAGTGTCCATGTTCCCAGTCTCGGCAGTGTTAGGGAGCAGCCTCTAACACTGCCCCGCTACCGCTTTGGAGAAGTGTGAATGGCTGAGGCATCTCAAAGAAGGAGAATGCATATTAGGGCATGGCCCGAACCTCAGACTTCCTAAAAGACAATGAGTGTCTGTCCAGATCAGTCTTGGTAGATAGCATTTAAATATCTGCTAATTAAGCTCAATTGTGGCATTACGATACGCAAGCCTTTAATAATGGGTAACAGAAGAAACAGAGACAAAGCCATTGCTGCAGATAAACTTGCATTTTTGTAAAGATAAGATTAAGTGTTTCTCTGAAACCTTAATGGGAAGAGATTCAAATTTATTGCCCTCAGGTGTCACTTTATCAGTCTTGCAGCTCCATACCAGCTGCTGGGGTTTGATATGATGTATGTTTAGAAAGGAGCTGCTGTCGCTGCTGGAATATGACCTGCAGCTGCCACTGACTTGTCCTTCTTGCTAAATTAGTGTTTCCAGATAGAAATGGCACTGCTGGATCATCCTGCTGCTGACAGCGTTGTGCAGCAGCTCAGCCCGACGTGTCGTCGGAGCCCTCCGAGGTCAGCACACGCCACAGCAACCTCCAGCTCTGGCATCTGGGGGAGGCAGCAGCAGGTCGGGTTTTACAAAAACTTACTGCCTTGGTGTTAATTCCAGTTGCTTTACAGAAGTCTAAAAAAAAGCTGAGACAGACTCGTGGGGTGGTGGTTGCAATAATTAAGTCTGTGCGCTCAGTGCTGGGGGTTGTTTTCCTGCTCTGCCCTAACAAAAGTGTTTGTAATTGGCTTTATAACTGACAGAGTTGTGTGGATGTAACCCTTGGAAAATAGGTTTCACTGGAAAAGGAGCTCTATAAACAGGATGGGGTTTTACCCCTCTTACTTTCCTGGAATACTCAGCTATGACACCCGCTTTACCTCCCTGTAAAGTACTGGGAACACGGGGCTGTCCGTGCGGCTCCCCGGCAGCTGCCTGCGTGGCACAGTCGTGCCCAGCCCCGGCGCTGGGCTGGCACAGGACGGCGGGCAGGGCCCAGGGCTGCTGTTTGCAAAGCAGCCGTGAGATCTGGCACTCGCTCTGCGCCCGCTTCCTTTACCGGGCAGCGTCCTGCTGCGTTACCCAGCGGTGAGGTTTCGATGGGGGACGTGGTGCCGGTGACCCCGGCTGACCCGGGCAGCAGAGCTGTCCTGGGCCCCCCTCCGAGATGCCCCCGCAGTGGTGCCATCCCGAGCCACGGGCTGCGCATCCAAGGGGCTCTGTGGGGAGAAACAAGCTGATTTCAGCCTTTCTGCTTATTTCGTTGTGAGTTTCTGACCCACAGCAGCCCAGATGTGGACGGGACCCTCGTGTTGGGTTTTTATGTTGGTACAAAAGTGACTGCGTGTTTTTTTTCGGAGTGAGTGTCAGCTATTGCAAGCAATGCTTTTAAATTCTGTTCCCTGGCACCCCCCACCAGAGGGTAACAAGTGTTTAGGTGTTAAGTATTTTGTCCGTGCCTGCGACAGCTTTGCATCGGTATCTGCGTGCTTATGTAGATCCGGGGGGAGCATCAAAGCGCCAGGTGCCTCCGACAGCGATTCATACCCGATAATTCGGAGAGAGGGAGAGCACCCTGCGAAGCACCCGGCCAGGTGTGACAGGGGGTCCAGGAGGGTCAGGGCTCCTGCTGCCTTCCAGAGCGGGGCCCTGGGGCCACGGGCACGTCAGCACAGTCGAGTCGCTGCCGAAGCTGTGGGTGCTGGCGCGGTGACGTGACACTTGTGCACATTTGCTCTCGTGCAGTTTCTCCCAAGCCTGTGCATCGAACTCCCCTGATTGTGGTGTGCCCTGCTGTGGTTCATCACAGCTCACCTCCCTCCCTTACACCCCTCTCCAGTGCCACATCCTTCAGCTGGGCCTTTTTGGATCCATCACCTGCTTGCGTACATGTTCCCAGCGCTCCAAGCTTGTGTAAGCCGTGTAAGGAGCAGCTCAGTGTTTCCCGGGCACATCCC